TTCTAGAATGTTCCTCAGAAAGATGTAAGGAATGTTTGCATCTGTTTCTCTTCACTCTTAACGCCTGGAATATAAAAAACATGACGAGAGGTAGAGAAGCTGTATTTTTGACCTTGGTAATAATAAAAGCCAGAAGCCAAGAATAATGAAGCTCAAAGACAAAAGTAGCGCATTCCCTGGTGATCTCGTGAAGCTGGCAGCACAGTCCTGGCCTGCCCATTCGCAGACTCTCTTTATGGAGACAGTAAACTCTCAATTTGTTTTAACTGCCATATCAAGTTTCTGTCTCTGATAAAGGCACATTGGAATCACTTTGTGAAGAAGAGTTCTTTCTGGATCACTGCATGTGATAGTTTTCAAACCTTTTGCAACATTTCTCACTGGGTGGTCCCGTCTATTTCACTTTTAGACCCGTTTGCTAAGTTCTAGAACCATATGCTAAACTTCTGAACCCTTCGTTTTGGATTTCCCTTAGTCACCTAAATTCAACAAGCAAAACCTAAACGAGCACCCTTATCCCTCCTACCCTGATCTCCTTTCTACGCATAGGGTCTTATTAATGACCCCACTCTTGATGACGTAAGCTACTAAACCCCCAAACCTTTAGGTAAGTCTTAATTTTTTTTTCTTCTATACCCTCTCCATCCAAAAGATCATTGAGCCTAAACACTTTTACCTCGGATTTTTTCTTGTATGGATACACACATTTCCATTCTCATCAATATTGCCTTACAGTCACTGTTATTCTCTTGAGCTATGCAAAAAAAAAAATCATTTCTAAATTGGCCTCAAGCTTCCAGCCCCTCATCTTTCCAACACAGCACTTCTCTATCCAGACGAATTAACTTCCAAATACATAGATCTGTTTATGCTCATCTCAAGCTTAAAAATGTTCAATTACTCTCCACTGCTTATAGGGTGCAGGTTAAATATTATAAATGATCCTTTTAAAAACATTCCTATTTTCCTCTGCAGCTTCTGTTCTACGCCTACCCAGCAAGACACACCCACAGTACCAGGTAAAATTAACTTCAGGCTCAGCACCTAAAGCTCAGCAGCTCGGGCAACAGCCACATACACCAGAGCTGGCGGGTTCAATCCAGCCCACCCGGGCCTGCCAAACAATAATGACAACTACAACCAAAACAAAAACAAATAGCCAGGTATTGTGGATGGCACCTGTAATCCCAGCTACTTGGGAGGCTGAGGCAAGAAAATCACTTAAGCCCAAGAGTTTGAGGTTGCTGTGAGCTGTGACACTACAGCACTCTACCGAAGGTGACAGCTTGAGACTCTGTCTCAAAAAAATAAATAAATAAAAATAAAATTAACTTCAGACACACAAACTACTTGCTGTTTTCATACTCCATGTCTCCCCTCCCTCTTTTTATTTCACTTGTCCCATATATTCAATTTGTTTTCTTTCCCTTCTCCTAGGAGTCCCTGTTTGTTTTCTTCTTAATAATCAAGGCCCAAATTAGGGCCAAGCCACTGATGCCATTTTCTCTTGCCTGTTCTGCACATCACAGGAATTATTTTCTCACCTATGAAACCATTGCTATTGCTATTGTATAGTTTATTACACTGTGGTGGAGACTTTTTTGTTTCTTTAGATATATTTATGTTTCTTAATTTTTATATTCATTTGAGCATCTTAAGGAAGTTACTATGTAGTTATAGCCACATCCCCGAGATGTCCTGCTATGCCGGGCACAAAGAGGAACTCCAATCTTAGTTGTGGATTTGAACCAACTACATACACTTTGGTTTCTTACAGGAAAAGGGTGCAACGTCAGGATAAGTGCATGTAGTTCAGACGTAAGAATGATTGGGAAAGAATTTTACTCAATGTCATATTATGGAATGCTTCTCCGATTCTTTTGTTTCCTATTCCTCTTCCTTGTCCTAAATCTTAACACTCAAGCCCCAGGAAGCAGTGCCCACTGTCTCCAGGAAAGCATTCCATTCACACCTACTTCTTTCTATTGCTAACAGCAATGCTTCATGAACTCTCGCTCTCTGATCTTGAAACACAAACATTATTTAGTGAACTTTGAATAGTCTATAGTTTTGATACAAAATTTATATTTGTTATCAAGTTCTCCTGCTTTAGAATCATGATCCTTATTTTTCAAGAGATTTCATAGAGAAATGATAATTTCCATTATATCATTTTCTCAAAATTTAAAATTTCTTTATTATTTATTGATTTATTTTCAATAGAGTCAAGGTATTACTATGGATGCCCAGGCTGGTCTCTCACTCTTGGCTTTAAGTGATCTTTCCTCCCACTTCAGGGCCTCTCAAGATCCTGGGATCACAAATGTGAGCTACCATGCCCAACCTTTAATTTAACAAAGAAAAACAGAACAAGCTAAGAATTCATGGCCAGCATAGCCTGGCAGGTGGTTCCACTTATAATCCTAGCACTTTGAGTGGTCATGTGGGAGGATCCATTGAAACAAAAAGTTTTATCCTAAGCAACAGAGTGAGACTCCATCTCTACAAAGACTAAAAAAAAAAAAAAATTAGCCAGTGCTGTGGTACATGTCTATAGTCCTTCCTAGTCAGGAGGCTGAGGCAGGAGGATCTCTTGAGCCCAGGAATTTGAGGTTGTATAAGCCATGATTGTGCCACTGCACTCTAGCCTAAGCAGAAGAGTGAGCAAAGCTCTTTTTTTACAGTTTTTTTTAAAGGGGGAATTCAGGATCACTGAGAAATTAAAGAAAGTATGCTTTGGCACTCATAAAAGCAGTGCTTTCTAGTCTAACCAATAAAAGTGATGTTAAAAAAATAGCTTTCCAAGATACACCTGCAAAAAGATAGCAGTAAGAGATATAAAAAGGGCATGCTCCCTTTTATTCAGATTTATTTTTTCTGATGAGGAATTGTGGATGGAATGAGGACAAATAGTTTTGGATTTATAATGCTATTCCTCATTTTATACAATGACTCAGCTTTTCAGCTGTAAATGGTGGATTCTAAATAAGCCCTGCCTAATTGATGTTTCTGTAAAATATATAAAGTTCATTAATTTGAATCATAATACCAAACAGAAAAGAATATAAAGTTCATTTAATATATCTGGAAGAAATCATATTTTGGAGAAATAACAGTAATATATTTTAACAGCTCTATGGAGATTGGACTTCTATCATTTTTTTTTTTGAAAGCCTGGCTTTAGAAAACCCAAGAAAGCATACATTTAAAAAATAATGAATTTACAGCTTATCAAGGATGGTGAGTTTCTACAATTGAGAAAGTAAATGGAACACATATTTCAGCCTCCAAACAAATATTTTTTATATACTTAAAATGATGTTAAATGATAAACAGAATACTAAATGTTTAATAATCCAAAATAAATTTAAAATAGTTAAATATGTACACACATACGTATGCATAGCAGTGTATATATATGTGCACACATGCATGTGTGTACATGCCCCCACACACATTTCTGTTGTGACAATGTAAAATACATTTTTACTTTGAAAAGTGACAGGGTACCACTATTGCACAGGAGCCAATACGGTTGGATTTTATAAAATTTAAATTATCACGGAAACTAAATGTTTTCCCTTCCGACAATCACGGGAATAAAAAGCTAGACAGAAACCACATCACATAATTTCCAAGTTACTCACTTTAGACCTGTGTTCTTCACCTTCATCATACATTCACGGTTATCTACGTGAGCAGAGAAAGCACCAGGGTGGGGACCCCGCTGTCTCAAGGCCACACGTGGCCTCCAGATCACCCAGATCACCATGTACATCCCCTCGACTGAATCTGAACTTCACAGAACCAATCCCTTTATTAAAAAGGATTTATTGTATAAAAGTTGGATTCAGACAAAAGGTTCTGCTTAAGTATGCAGAAGGCCACAAGACCTCCTAGACCTTTGAAGATAAATACCAGCCCTGACATTTACTAGTATGACCTTCAGGAAGCTATTTAACCTCTATTTTTTTCATATAGTAAACAAACAAACAAATGATTAATCTGGCATGATGTTGTGAAGATTGAGATAGAATATAGCAAGAGCTAATACTCAGTAGGGATTAGTTTCCTCCTCTCTACCCTTGATGGTGATCCTTTGCTCGTGTTTTTGCAACTATGTCTTCTTTGGAACATTAATTCATTGAGGCAAAGTCCAGTGCCAAGATATAGAGGCCCTGAGATGGTGCAAATTTATAAGTATACTAGTGTGTAATTTAAAAAGAAAATTGTTCTCAGGAATATAAATTCCTGGAATGTTCCTAATGTTTCATTTAAACCTAAATTTATAATCTTGGTGCATGTCCTTCTCAAAGTCACTGATAACTGAATCCAATATAGATATCAAATATTATTTTATTACCATACCTGCTCCAGAGAAATGATCTACTACTGTTCAAAAGATGAATAGAAAAGTTAGACATTAGTTCTACCATGGTAATTTTACAGCAGCTTGAAACTCAGGGCCACCGAAGAATTTATGAAAGTTCTTCTAAATCTATACTGTTTTATCATATTCCACGTCTAAAAGTATATATGGAAATAAAAAGAATCTCAAGGCATGAATTTCTATGTAATAAATATGAATATGGGAAAATGAACATCAATTACTAGCAACAAGGCAATCATTTTATTAATTTGCAATTCTGCACGCATTTAGTTTAGAAAAAATACAGATTCACTTCACGATGCCATCTGTATACTTTCTGAGGTCTGAAAACTGTGCTCTAAATAAATATGTATATTTTAACAAAGTGGCTCACAACACTTGATTTATTCTTTAAGTTCTGAGGCCAAAGAAAGTTATACTCACTTGACATTTCTTTAAGAAATCTGACAAGATCTCCTGCTAGTTTGATTATTTGTACTTTTATGCAAACTCTGATTGAGTTTATCCCAGCCTGAATTTATCTGAAAGATTTAAGGGTATAAGCAGGAGTGCACGTGTTCAGTTTGAGCATCCGCCACCTCAGATGGTGTAAACACCAGGCAGTACTCACAGCAGACATGATGAGCTCTCCCCCCAGGTTCTGGATCTCAGCTTTGACTTGACTGCAGATTTTCAGCTGATGAGAGTAGAACTTAATCTGCTCCAGGTAGGCCAACAAGTCCTGCTTGCACGATGCATCTGGACACTATGTTCACATCAAAGATAAAAGGGGAAATGACAAAATAAATAGAGAGAGGATGAAAATGAGCAAATACAGTGCGGGCATGGCAGTGCCTTCTAATGCAGCAACTTCATTTTTCTCAAGCCTCATTTCTCAGATCAGTTCCATGTAGATTCTGACCCGCTTCTACCATTATAATACCTGATTTATTTTTCAATCTTAGTTCATTCAGCTTAGGAAAGTAAATACTAAGGGAATTTTCAGACATGAAAAGGTTATAAGAAGCGACTGCCTTTAAATTATGTTAAAGCTAGAAGAATTCGCATTATAGTTTTTGGTAAATCTAAGGAAACACTTAAATTGCATTTATGCCTGTCCCCTATAATTACCATTAGTATATTCCTCAGGACTCATAGTCATGCATTACTTGTCATGTATTATTTATATGGGCATAAAAATCTGCAGCAAAACAGACTATACTACTACTACTTTCAGCATTAAATCTTCTTTGCTGTTACGGGCAAAGGAAATCATTTCTACCTTAGCTAAGGGCCGTGGATCTACCTGGAGGCAAGAAACAGACAGCAAACATCTTGTAGAGATGTATTAAACTTCTTTACCCAAAGCAGCCTCCTGTACTGGTTTACCTTCCCTAAGGAGCTTCCTAAAGGACAGTGTTGAGCTTTACCACAACTTACATAAATATCTCTGGTTAAGGTTTAATCTTTGTGTTCTTTCTCATATAATAGATCTGTCATATGTATACCATGGAATATTATGCAGCCCTAAAGAAAGATGGAGACTTTACCACCTTCATGTTTACATGGATGAAGCTGGAAACTGATCTTTTTAGCAAAAGTATCTCAAGAATGGGTGAAAAAGTATCCATGTACACAGCCCTATTATGAAACTAATTTATAGCTTTCACAGGAAAACTATAACCTAATTATAGCCCTGGAATATGGGGAGGGGGGAGGGAGAGAAGAGGGAAGGGGGGGTGAATGGGTGAGGAGGGAGATTAGTGGGGTCACCTCTATGGTTTATCTTACAAAGGTACAAGTGAATCTTTCTAAAAGCAGAGTATGAATTCTTAACTCAATAACTAAGAAAATGACAGGAAGGCTATGTTAACCAGTTTGATGAGAGTATTTCAAATTGTATATAAAAACACCACACTGTACCCCATGATTGCATTAATGTACACAGCTATGATTTAATTAAAAAACTCCCCTAAATTATTTATACTTTTAATAAATTTCTATAAGAATATACAAATGTGGACAGCAATTTATGTGCAAAAATATTGATCATGGAATTAATTATAATAGCAAAAATTGAAAATAGAATAAATATCCTAAACTTAGGCTAAAGAATAATGCATATCTATGTAACACAACATTATGTAGTCTCAAGAAAATACAGTTTTCAAATGATGTGATAAAATGTTTTTGAAGGTTAAAGAAGTATTTAAAATTTCATATACTTAATCAAAATGTATAAAATAGATGCAGGTTTAAAACAGGCAGTGAAATAAATATATGAAAATGATCAATAAATATGACACAATTAATACTTTTAATTTTCTTCATATTTTATATACCTTAAAATAAATATATATTGCTTTTATAATTATAAAATTCTATTTATAAAAAAGCTATGGTTCTATAGCTGGGCGTTGTGGCAGACAACTGTAGTTCCAGCTACTCTGGAGGCTGAGGCAAGAGAATCACCTAAGCCCAGGAGTTGGAGGTTGCTGTGAGCTGTGTGATGCCATGGCACTCAACCAAGGGCGACAAAGTAAAACTCTACCAGCTAAAAAAAAAAAAAGCTATGGTTCTAATGATTTATACTGCAAATTAAAAATAGGGTGAAAAACAAGAAAACATTTCTTTAATTTCTGCTTTGCTCCAATATCTAATAATTAAGCTGGAGTATTGCTGGAAAATTCCTGAGAAGCTTCTTGTCCTTCCTATTTGTTAAATGGACTAGTCTATATAGCTCCAGAGTATGTGCACAGGATGAAAACACCTTTTGAAAACACCGTGACCTTTGAGGTCAAGTAGATAAGAGATCAACAAAGGTAGCAAAGAAACCAATTCTTCTACAGTAGATAGGCCTGGATACAGGCATAGATGGAGAGATTCAGGATAACCAGGCAGGGACACAGTCAGACATGATGATACAGACACGTGGAGAGGATGAGGACTCACTCGAGGTTCTGATAAAGAAGTAAAGGTGATTCCTCAAATCTCCTTAAATTGCAGCTAATTAAGAAGAAAGGAGAATGACAGAGAAAAAGAAGAACAAGAGGAAAAGGAGGAGGAAGAGAAATAAGAAGAGGGGAGGAAGGAGATGAGAAAGAGGAGAAACAAAAGCAAATTTTCACTGAGTTCTCGTCATATCCTGGACCAGGTTAACTAACTGAGTCATGTCACCCTACTCCACAGCGAAGCCCAGAAGGAAGAGGCATTTTCTCCAATTTGCAGGTGAGAGTTTACCTATAATGATGAAAAACAAGTCATCCCACTGTTTTATTTTAACAGGAAACTGATATTTTATTATGGTGCCAGTTACCACCAGGTCCTTTACATGCTCAATTTAAATTAGTATTCACTGCAGAATTTTAATAACTAGATCTTGTTGTTGCCATTTTACAGATTTATAAGCTAAGTTTCAGAGAGAGTGACTTGAATTGAGTTTTCTTTGTTCAGTCACATGAATGCACAGTGATTTCTTGTATACAAAATTCATTCAAAACACCTTTGTTTTGTAGTCCCCACTCAGTAACTCTGTTTCTCTTCTTTGTCTTTATGAATGGATTCAGTGAGAATCCCTGACATATATAGTGTTTTATCTATCACGTACTATCCTAGGTGCTTGCCTATATTAACTCTTTTAATAATCACAGACACGTAATTCTGTGAGGTGAGTTCTACCATTATACCCATTTAGCAAAGGAGAAACTGAGGCACAGAGATGTTGATTGGCTGGACAGTTAATAAGTGGTAGAGCTAGTATTCCCACATGATCTGGCTCCACTTCCCCACCTCCATGCTCTGTTAACAATATCACTCTTCTTGCCATTCGGATCTTATATGCTAACAGTAAATTGCCCCTCTCATTTATAAATTGGCTTCTTAAATTAACACATATTTGTAAATTGTAAGTTGGCCTAATGTGGATTTGTTACTTCAAGACTACCCCCACTGTATAACTCCTGATAAAATCGAACTTGCAAACTAATAATCAGATTCTTGACCAATTGAAATCTCCCAAGTTTAAGCCAATCATGAGTCTCCCTCAAGAGACTGACCCAAAGCCATACTAGGAGACTCTTTAATCCTGTTGAAAGAATGAATCAAATGACTAGAAAGTTTAAAGTTGAACTTCTGAAGTTAAAATCTGCTATACTCAGATTCACCCTTTATTTTCAGAATTGATAAGAATTCTTTAATTATACCAAACAGTGGCAGTCAGTTTTATCAATGAAGCAAATCAAGCAGTAAAAATATCATGGAACCCTTTGGTTATCATTTCCCAGTTTATTAAGATAAAAGATGGTGACCAGACATCTAGTTCTCCCTTTAATGCCTGGAATTCTTTTTGTCTTTTAAATCTATTATCACAGGGACCCTCACTGTCAGAAAGTAGATGGCATGTCAGCTTAAGTAGTTTTCTTACATTAAATCAGTTTCACTCTCCTAGTAAGATGTTTAGAACAAATACACAATACATCATTTAGTAATGAGAGAAAATGTGAAAAACATTCATTACTTTTTAGTTTAAATGTGGAGGGTGAACTAGTAAAGTGAATACTTATAAAGACCTGTATTCCATACTCTTAGCATCTTTTTGCCCATACTGGAGTATAATCTTTATGTAAGACACATTTAAAATGACTTTTGCCATTACAGACAACAGTTTAAATTCTGCTAGGCTGGCGAAGTTTGTTAATGAAAAGTATTAGGTGTCACTGTCAATTTCAAGCACAGATATTTAAGGAATCAGTGGTAGCAAAAACCCTCAGCCTTCACGACTTTTCCCTTTCCACAGTTCATTTCCTCACCTGTGACCCAGCCCAGAGCTTGGCTCCTTTTCCTTACGTAGGGTCATAGATCAGTAATGATCCCAATTTTTCCTGTACTTTCTTTTTTTTTTTTTTTTTTTTTTTTGAGACGGAGCCTCAAGCTATCCCCCTGGGTAGAGTGCCATGGCATCGCGCTCACAGCAACCTCCAACTCCTGGGCTCAAGCGAGTCTCCTGCCTCTGCCTCCCAAGTAGCTGGGACCACAGGCGCCCGCCACAACGCCCGGCTATTTCCTGTACTTTCAACATCTCTTCTTTTCCAATTCTTGAAGCTATCAATTCTCCCTCTGCCCTGTTATCTCATCTTTTACTTTTTGTTCATTACCGTGCCTTCTAAAAATGTTTCAATGCAGATTCTTCGTTTCCTTACAATACTGAAAATAGCTTCAACTCCTCCACTCCACAGAATTTTATTTTATTGATATTACTAATGGTAATATATATGTGTATATATAAAGAAAGGATTGCAATATATATATATATCTTCCTTTAGTATATAAATATATAATCCAAAATATGCCAATATATAATCCAGTATTGCAGTCCTTCCTTTCTGTAGCTTTTGGATCTTTCTTTTTCTTGAATTTCATCTCTCTCTGAATTCTTACAAATGTGTCCTTTTAGGTTTTCACCTATTTTTTAATTTCAGAATATTATGGATGTAATAAACATTTTGGTTGCAAAATTTGCTTTTGTACATTTTAAGTCCAAGTTACCAGTATGTCATAATGTGCACCTTGTACCACTTAGGTGTGAATTTACTCAACTCCCCCACCACCTCCTACCTACTTGATACCCCTCGACTTTTACCTACAGGAGCCTCCCTGCCTCCTTGGGAAGCACTTTTTTTCCTTTTGCCCATCCCTGTTGGTGTTCTCAGGTCTTGTTTTTGGCACTTCTTCACTCTCACTCTCTTTTTGGATGATAGAAGACAATGC